GGAGGCAGAGGCAGTTAGATTTCTGTACATTCAAGACCAGCCTGATGTATAAAGCTTCACAAAGAAGCTTTCTCAAAACACCATAAAAGAAAAAATAGTGTTAGCTGCGAAGGGCCCATTATAGATGTCATGGCCTTTGATGGAAAGATATGGCTACTGCCCAAACCAAAATCCAGTACAAATTAAACCAGGAGAAAGAGCAAACCAGATTTTCCTCTCTTCCTTTGATCACCCATCACTAATTACCATTTGTTAATCCCAAGTGGAATCCACAGGACATGAAAGCCAAGGTGTGAAATCTATCCTGGTTCCCTTGGGGCACAGAAGGCAGAAAATAATGATTGAGTTTACAAAGACTGTCTGACAGTAATAAATTCAGGGGTATGTGTAAGAAGCAGGAAAGTAGGAAATGATGACATGATCATCATACTTTCTTTACATGTATTTTATACATCTATGCAGGCACAGATATTTTTTTAAAAAGCAGTGAGATGTAGACTACTATATGTGTCAGGCATTTTTGTGCTTCTGTAGAAAAATTTAGTCAAGGCAATGTTATAAATGTATAAGTAACTAGCAGACACTTTATGCTTGGCATTATTAAAGAAAATAGACCATAAAAATTTCTTCACCATCAGCAACCTAAATTTGAGGACAATCATATAAAATATATATAACATAACTATAAACTAGTAATCAGGGAAAAGGATTTATTGATTCATTTACCCACCAGCATTATTTGAATACCTGCTATTTTCCAGGTTGTATTTTTATGTTTGAAAAAAAAAGATGACATGAGTCAAAAAATGATGTGATCCTTGTCCACATAGAATTTATAATCTTCTTTAATGGCAACATTGAAGTTTGATTGTTTTAAAAAAAAGTTACATAGAGTTCTATGGAAATATAAACAGACAACTTAGATTATATAGCCAAAAACAGACTTCATGAGACATTTTGGATCTGAATGAAGTACAAAAAGGAAATTAGGCAAGTAATGACAGGTAGTAACTGTGACAGCTGATGGGAATGCTTTAATGTAAGGTGATAGGAAGAGGAAAGTGTGAGTAACCTCGTTAGGGCAGAGCATATAATCCAGGGGTGATGGCGTAGTTCATAACCTAAAAGTAGCCATTTTAGCTATAGTAGATATCAATTGGAATGTGGTGTTTATTCTTTATTCCTAAGCCATAAAAAATTACTAAAGCATTAATAATAAATCACTAAAATGAATTGAAAATATCAAAGTAAAACATTGAACTATTATTTTGTTCAACAAACCCCTTATTGTCTATTTCTGATGGCTCCCTGAGAAAAAAGCAGAAAAAGACATATTTTCTTTTTTTATTTATTTATTATATATAATCAAGTCCATTTAAATGAAAACAAACATTTATAGACAATATTTGGGAATTTGGGCGTCGTTCTTTCCAAACTACTTCCTGCTGGTAAGGGGCACTGTCATGGGATTCTAAGAAGATTCAGAAATCCTGGCTGTAGTTTGTAAGGCTGATTTGTCCAGCTGTTTTGAATGTAGGATCACCTGGTACTCAGTTTCAGGTAGTCTGGCTTGATCAAACCACATAAGTCTGGAAAGAATCCACAGCTTTTCATTTTCTGTGGAAACAAAAATAGAAATCCTTTTCCCCAGTAACTTGTCCTTGAACTTAAATTTTGGAGTCAAAGCATTATTTTTTTTATTTAATTTATTACTTTACATGTCGATCCCAGTTCCCTCTTCCTCCCTCCCTCCCTCCATCCCTTCCTCCTTCCCTCCCTTTTACCCTCTCTGCCCTCTCACATGCACTCTAACCACCCTCCACTCCCATCCCCCCACCCCAATTCCTTATGTAGGGGAATGCCATCCAGTTGGGGTCATGTAGATCTGACAGGTCTTGTGAAGTAGGGACTAGGGCTTCTCTCCTGTCTCTAGATTAAGGCAGTTATCCCTCCCTGGGGGATGTGTTCGCAGAGTCCGAAAAAGACATATTTTCTTAAAATTTACCTGAAATGTTGGTTTTTCTTCCAGTGTAGGTAAATGGCTTAATTTTGTCAGTTATTGTCATGTTTTGCTGTGTATAAAGTTAAAAACATAATTTTAAGTGGCATCAATGAAACAAATACATTAAGACAAGGTAAATACCTTCATATAGAGGTTAGCCAAGACCCTCCACTGTAAAAAAAAAAAAAAAAAAAAAAAAAAAAAAAAAAAAAAAAGAAAGAAAAATTCCAAGAGCAGTCATGTGTTGCACAAAAACATCAAGGAAACAGCTATAACAAACACACATACACAGAGGACCTGTGTATGTAGGCTGAGGCAGGCCCTGTGCTTGCCACTTCAGTCTCTATTAGCCCTTGTGAGCCCACCTTTGTTGAGTCAATGGGCCATAGTCTACTGCTGTCCTTCATTCTATCTGGCTCCTACAATAGTTTTAAAATTCCTAATAGGTAATTCCCACCTCTGACTCAATTTAGTGTTGGCATCAATTGATTTTCATTTTTTTCCTTCAAGTTGGAATTTTCCTGGTCCTTACATAAATGTTTATCTTTTTATTATGTCCAAGATAGTCTGCCTATTAAACTTTAAACCCTTTTAGTGTAGAATAACTTTAATTAGTTTTATCTCACTGGGTAGTGACATTCATCTTTGTTCCAAATTGTCCTTGATACTGATGTTAGATAATATAGATGATAGGTAATAAATTTTTGAAGGTCAGTGTCTTGGTATCTTGATGTAGAGAAGGGACATTTCAGCCTATGAAAAGAGTGCTTGCTGTTGGCCCAGTAAATACCTCTAGTGTCAGACTCATCCTTTCTTGTCACCTTAGTCATGCAAAACAATGACAGTGTTAGGAAGTGGGAGCAAGAACATTAATATGGAACAGAAGTTTCTTTGCCTGGAAACTTTGTGTCTTCTCCTCATTTTTCCAAAAGGACTAGTCTCTTGAATGTCATTTTTACTCTGTAATATCAAAAACCTGGCTAGAAGCCTCTTTAATTCTTGAATTGGAGGACACATAACTGTATGTGCTTCCATAAATTGTATCTCAGAGATGTAAATGATCAAAGCCACATCCTGAATGTGACTAGAAAATAGGAGTAGCTCCTTTTTCAGTCTGTACCAACTTTTTCTCTTTTAATTGCTTGCGGAGGAAATCTCTTTAAAGTTTCTTTGCCATCATATTAATCTATATTTAAAATTGTAATAATGCTCCTCCCTTTTCCCCCCCAACTATCAAGCTTTCTCAATTTTGTACTTAGCCAAAGAGAAGTACTCAAAAGATGTGTTAGTTATAGTTACCATCCTCATAAAAATCATTATGTCTTCTCTGTTTCACACATAGCAAGACCTATGGTTTGAGAGTGTGACTAAACTAAATTGTGCTACAATTCCAATTTAGTACTTTCAATCCTTTATTACAACTTATTATCAAATAATCCCTTGTTGTGTTTTCTAGTTTCTAAAATCTTAATAATTTGGGGAAATTCTTGTTTTTATTATGGATATTATCTCATAAAAGGTTAATATTAAAGAGGATATAATAATCATTACATTTGGAACAGTTTTCAACAAATCTGGTCTCTGAAAAAATCTTGTTTTAGAGAAGTAATTTTTTATTGCTACATTAATAAATGCAAATAGTAGATTTAGGAACTTTAATGAACAGGATAATTCAGGAAACAATTTGTATAGTTTTTCAACTAGAGAAAATAATTTTATGATATTGAAATAAATGTTCCAGACGTATTTGCTTACTATTCAAATAAGAAATAAATTCAGTAACAAATACTATTTAAAAGGGAAGCTATTTGTTTTAGTTTCTCTTAATATTACTTTTCTATAATATACATAGTGAAAATTTTTTCTCCCAAAATATGTAGAAGTAGAGATTTTAAAAAATTAATAAATAAAAATTATTTCAGTTTTATGTATGTATTTACCAGTTCTTTGAAATTTTTGTACAATGTGTTTTGGCCATATTCTCCCTCAGTTCTTCCCAGACTCATCATGTTTTTATAACTATTCACCTCAGCTTCTTTGTATGTTAATTAAACTATATATACACTGTGTCTTAAGTGTTAAGTAGAATGTATTACTTATGGAAACACACATGGATTGATTCTAGTGTGCTCAGTTTATCTCTTTAAAGAGAAGTCATAAAATAAAAGAGGTGGCAAAAACAAAAAGGTCAATTATGACAAGAAATGTAGTCATTGATACCTAGAAAGTTAAAAGAAAGAAAAGGAGGAGAACCATGGGGGTGGGGGAGGACCAAATGGGCGGTGAAGTAATATGATGAAGAGTGACAGAATAAAAAAGACAAAAGAAAAGACAAGAACAAAATGCATATGCATCCAGAAATCAAATGGGAAGAAAAAAGAAATTAAGTTGCAAAAAATGGAAAAGAAAAGAACTGGAAGAAAATAGGAGGACGGAAGGAAAGGAGTAAGGCAGGAAGAGAGGGAGATACAAAGCTCAAATCCAGGGACACGGGAGCTTACCAGCTTCACTTAAGACTGAGCTCTTGAGAAAGATAGATTCTTTTCTCATACAGTATTTCCTGATTACACTTTCCCCTCACTCTGCTCTACCCAGTTCCTTCCCATTTCCCTTCCCTTCCAGATCCATTTTCTTTATGTCTTTCATTAGAAAAGAACAGGCTTCTATAAGGTAACAACCAAACATGACAAAATAAAATGTAATAAAATGGAGGGAAAACTACCATATTTAATTAGAACATGGCACTTCAACAGAAGACTCAGTAGCAGTCACAATATACACTATTTTTAAACTATGGGAGGGTGCAAAACAATTATTTCTATTCTCAACCACAAAATTTATATTGACTTTGAATCAATTGAAATGCACTAGTGTGAAAATAGCATTCTGTACAGTTAGGAAATATTTCTGCTCCTTGTAGTCATCAGGTAATATTATTTTTTTTTTTTTTGACCTGCTTAGAAGGAAGACTGATCTAAATTTCATGTCTATTTCACAGGTGATGGAAATCAAAGGACAAATGATCCATGTCCCAGAATCAAATGCCATTTTGTTTTTGGGCTCTCCATGTGTGGACAAGTTAGATGAACTCATGGGCCGAGGACTACATCTCTCAGACATCCCTATTCATGATGCTACCCGAGATGTCATTTTAGTTGGAGAGCAAGCAAAGGCCCAAGATGGCTTAAAGAAGAGGATGGATAAATTAAAGGCCACCTTAGAAAGAACTCACCAGGCCCTGGAAGAAGAGAAGAAGAAGACTGTGGATCTGCTATATTCCATTTTCCCCGGTGATGTAGCCCAGCAGTTGTGGCAAGGACAGCAAGTGCAGGCTAGAAAGTTTGATGATGTCACCATGCTCTTTTCAGACATTGTGGGCTTCACAGCCATATGTGCCCAGTGTACTCCCATGCAAGTAATCAGCATGCTCAATGAACTCTACACAAGATTTGATCACCAGTGTGGATTTTTGGATATTTACAAGGTAATGAAGATGAGCTACTTATATATAAGTACTATTTAATAATAAATTCTCAACTCATTAGAATACATACTAACTTAAACTTGATAATGAATTATATATATTATACATGTTCTAAATACACACATATATATGTGTGTATATGTATATATATATATATATGTGTGTGTGTGTGTGTGTGTGTATGTGTGTATGTATGTATAAAGAGAGAGAGAGATCTTTACATACAATACATGTTTTCCAGACTTAGCAAAATTTGATTATTTCATGTTACAGTATTGGCTTCAGTAACTCTAATATTGCACTTTAAGGAAAACAGTTCTCTGCAGCTGCTTCTCTACATTCAATATTATTAAATAATTAATCTTAATATACTAGGCAACTTTGAACAATATCAAGAATTTTTATGGATAAAAAGAAACAGGAAAGATGTTAAAATATGGGCTGTGTTATTGAACTTGGGTAATCAGCATTTTTCACAGTGTCAGTGAAGTGAGATCCTTTAATTCTAAAAGAATATATAAGTACTCTCACTCTTCTTTACATGGCCAATAGTGGAAGTTAGAAGCATCTTAATGTTTTCAGCTTGGAAATTGAAAGATTTCATGAATGGGTAACATCCACTATATACTGATTTAGTTTTGTCCAACTCTGTCAGAACTTCTGGTTAAAACTGTACCTACCCATACCTCCAGAAGTTCAAATTCAACCTACCTAATAAATAATAATTAGCATGGATTTTTTTACACAGATTATGTAATGGCAGAGTTCAGGGCTTTTTTTTTTTTTTTACATGAAGGGCAACAAGGATATTTAAGCAAATGGTGTATGGCAGGGTTTTAATATATTTGTAAAAAAAATTGAGCAGCTGCTTCTTTTCATGGCCTAAGCAGCATATAAACAGATTTGGAAAGAACTTACATGTTTCCATTTTGTTTCGTATTATGACTCAGAAGATATTCTCATTAAGATGTGTCTCCTTGGAAAAATGAGACTGCATAGAACATTATATAGAACATACAGCAGATGCTCACCCTCTGAGTGTTCAGTAATCTGTGTGGAAGATGGATGTGTAATATGCCTTGTTATATAAAATAAGAGTCTTTAAAAATTGTCTTTAACTGCTTTGTAATTTATTAGTACATATTTTGCTATAGAGGTTTCCCAATGTCTGGTTCCAAGCTAGAACAATATCCCCATCCTGTATTTCTTATGTCCTAATATTTCTTGAAGGAGAAGAAATCAGCCCAAATTTGTCTGTACTTTCTCCCTTCTGCTTCATCTTTCATATTATTGCAACCAATAAACTTGGTTTGTGTATATTCATTATTTTTCTTTTACATATCGATCCCAGTTCTTCTTCTGTTCCTTCCTTCTCATGCCCACCAGCCCCCTCCCATCCCATCCCATGCCCCAACCCACTCCACAGGGAGAGTGATGCCTTCCAGGAGGAATCATCTGTAAATGTAAAGTTATTTGGAGTAGGGACTAGGCCCTCCCTCCTGCCTCTAGGCTAAGGGAGTATCCCTCCATGGGGAATGTGCTCCCAAAGTCCTTTCATGCACCAGGGATACATGCTGGTTCCACTGTCAGAGGACCCTGAGAGGAGTCTGAATTGGTCCAATGCTGGTTTCCCAGCTATCAGTCTGGGGGGTCCATGAGCTCCCCCTTGTTTAGGTCAGCTGTCTCTGTAAGTTTCTGTAACCCCATCTGTCTTGAGCCTATTTCCGTATTACTGCTCCCTCTCTGTAACTGGATTCCAGGAGTTCAGCACACTGTTTAGCTCTGAGTGTCTGCTTCTCTTTCTATCAGCTACTAGATGAGGGCTCTATGATGACATATAAGTTAGTTATCAATATTATTATCAGGGAAAGGCATTTAAGGTACTCTCCACTGTTGGTCAGACTGTTAGTTGGGGTCATCCTTGTAGGTCTCTGGACACTTCTCTACAGTCAGTTTTCTCTTTAAACATATAATGGCTCCCTCTATTATGGTATCTCTCTGTCTCTTTTTTATTTTTGCTCTGATCTATTTGTTCCTAATCACAAAAAGAGGAACATGGTATGTACTCACATATATATACTGCTAGAGAAACTAGGACACAAGGAGGAAACTAAGAGTTTCATACAAGTTCCCTCACAGAAGGGGAAAGGATCAAGATCGCCTATGGTTTTTTGTTTTTTTGTTTTTGTTTTTGTTTTTTTTTTTAATCACTGGCCTTCAGTATTAACCTCCTCCAGCTTGCATTATTTTAAAACCTAAGTTTATATAAATAAATGTACCATGTTGATTTCTCTCTCTCTCTCTCTCTCTCTCTCTCTCTCTAAGGCTTTGAACTTTGAAATATTATTTTAATGTAACTAGAAGAATCTAACAAAACTCCTATTACTATGTATGCCTAAGCAGAAGCTAGAAAGGTGAGGGAGGAGGGAGTGGTGGGACTTAGGTGCAGGCAGGCCCAGAAGCCTTAAGCCCATATCTCTTTGCGTGTTTGTGATGTGACCAGAGCCATCCTCACACCTGTTTTTAGGAATCATTGACCAAGGATGCAGATCAAAGAACAAGCTCTGGCTCTGGGGCATGTTAGAGTTTGCCTTATCTAACTGTCCCCAAGCCAGAGAGCTTGTAAGTTCCCGCGTACCTCCCATAAAGTGGTTTGTTTTTATTTTTTTTAAAAGAATTTAATCCATGTATTAGTATATTTGAAACCTATCAACACATTAGGGAGAAGCAAAAATCCAGGCACACCATTAAGGGCCATAAAATCTAGTGGTTGGAGAAAAGGATAGTTTATGAGACTTGGAAAGCAGGCAGCATGTCAAGTCAGAAAACATGAAATGGAGAATCAACTGACATTGGTTCCCAAACAGTCTCGGTCTTTTCAGGACTTTCTAGGGAAAAGAGAATCACAGGATGTCTCCAAAGACATAAAAAGACCCAAAATGTACTACTTCCTTGAAGGATATAGTGATGTCTGATGAGGTCTTTCATGCTAAATTAGGTCACAGATTAGGAATTAGACCCACAAGGAAATATCATCAGTTAGTTATTTCTATCCACTGTTTAAGGTATTTATGGATGCTCTTAGAATTGATATAATATAAAACTTGACAGAAACCTTGACTTCTTTGGAAAATCCTTAGGCCACTGACAATTCTGCTTTGACTATATATGCTCTCACTCTACATAAATATACAATATGAAACATGGAATCTGTTATGTTCATGAACAATTTATTGATAGTGCATGTTGTTCCACTTTAGTTTATAAATTGGAGATAAATATTTTTCTGTTTTTCAAATGCATAAATTAGTGCTTAAATTTTTGGTGTAATCAACTCTTGAAATTGAACAATATTAATGATTTATTTTTATTTAGTATTTAAGTGTATCCTTGAAGAATTTCATACATGTAAGGTATCCCACAGGCTGTATATGGGTTATAGACTTCTGTCTTAGTTAAGGTTTTTATTGCTGTGAAAAGACAACATGACTCTTACAAAGGAAAATATTAAATTGGGGCTGGCATACAGTTTTAGAGGTGTGGTCCCTTGTATTCATAGCCGCATACAGGCAGGCATGATACTAGAGAAGGAGCTGAGAGTTCCACATTTTGATTTGCAGGCAACAAGAAGTAAACTATTCCCACAGGTGTAGCTTGAGCATAGGAGGCCTCAAATATGAGACATCCCTACAGTGACATATTTCACCCAACAAGACCACACCTCCTAATAGTGCCACACACAATGGGGGCCATTGCCCAAACTGTAGGGCAGTCAATGACGAACCTGGAATCACCTAGAAGAGAAATGGAGACAAGGGATACAAAGAATGGACAGCAAGAAAGTACTCTGATCAGGCTGACAAATTTTATTTTCTCGGTGGTGGTGGGGTCTTATGTAGGACCATAGGCAGGACAGTTGCAAATAGGCAGGGTGAAGAAGTCACTAGAAGGAATGTCCTGAACTAATCTTTAACTTGCTGTAAAACTTCAACAGGAAGATTATCCTGAGCTATTATTCTTTTTCTGGGTATAAAACCTCAAGCCTGAATCTTGGAATGCTCTGCTGAACATTCTGCTTATTTCTTAAGAGACAGTAACTTTCTATCTCAGAGACCTGAGGTTGTAAGGATGGTTATGGTCACCAACATGCCTTATTCTTTCAGAATATCACAGCATCTAAACTTGGGTCTTACATTTGAATGGCCAATGTTATACTAATTCAGACATGTCCCTTGCCCAACTACATATTATTAATAGTTCCTTAACTACTGTGGGGTGAATATATATCTGATCTTTGTTTCTTATTGCTACAACAGAATGTCTAAGCCTGCTTTTCTAGTGTGTTATTGTTGTTTTGTTTTTTGAGAAGATAAGTACATTTTATATCAGTTCTACAGGCAAGGAAATCCAATTTAAGACACAAGCATTTGCTGTGTGCATCATGATTCATTTTTAGAATATAAATAGACAAAGAAAAGAAAGCCAAATCACACTCACAAGTGTTCTTCATTGTGAAAATAGTCAGTTCAAAGAAGTGGAGGCTTTAAACCACATACTTTCTAATTGAAGTGGGGATTAAGATTTTAATTTGTCAAAGCATGAATTTTGAAAGACACACTAACTTGAATAAATAAGCCCAAAATTCATAAATCAATACAAATAAGTATCCATAATAGAATTTTAAAAATTATATGTGTTTGTTTCCCTATTTGTTTATTACATATGTCTTCCTATATGTGGATGTAATGGCAAACATTGGAGTCAGATTACAAATTGCAGAACAGAATTGTTTTTTTGTTTTGTTTTGGTCTTTTTGTTTTGTTTTGTTTTTGTTTTTTGTCTTACAATTTGGGTCACAAGGATTTGACTCAGGCTGTTAGTCTTGGTAGCAAACACTGCATACTGAGGCCTTTTGCTAATCCATACTTTTTAGTGTGTTTGTTCATATCCTATGGAAGATGAGAGCTGGGAAAGCATGTTGGTGACAATCACCCAGGCCC